AGAGACAGAATGAGAAGAAAAAAAATCCAGAAAATCACATGTCTGATTTTTAGAGACTTTATTTGCAAATTATGGTGTACAATAAGTATTTGGTCACCTACAAACAAACAAGATTTCTGGCTTTCACAGACCTGCAACTTCTTCTTTAAGAGCCTCCTCTGTCCTCCACTTGTTAACTGTATTAATGGCACCTGTTTGAACTCGTTATCAGTATAAAAGACACCTGTCCACAACCTCAAACAGTCACACTCCAAACTCCACTATGGCCAAGACCAAAGAGCTGTCAAAGGACACCAGAAACAAAATTGTAGACCTGCACCAGGCTGGGAAGACTGAATCTGCAATAGGTAAGCAGCTTGGTGTGAAGAAATCAACTGTGGGAGCAATTATTAGAAAATGGAAGACATACAAGACCACTGATAATCTCCCTCGATCTGGGGCTCCACGCAAGATCTCACCCCGTGGGGTCAAAATGATCACAAGAACGGTGAGCAAAAATCCCAGAACCACACGGGGGGACCTAGTCAATGACCTGCAGAGAGCTGGGACCAAAGTAACAAAGGCTACCATCAGTAACACACTACGCCGCCAGGGACTCAAATCCTGCAGTGCCAGCGTGCCCTGCTTAAGCATAATGTCCAGGCCGTCTGAAGTTTGCTAGAGAGCATTTAGATGATCCAGAAGAGGATTGGGAGAATGTCATATGGTCAGATGAAACCAAAATAGAACTTTTTGGTAAAAACTCAACTAGACGTGTTTGGAGGAGAAAGAATGCTGAGTTGCATCCAAAGAACACCATACCTACTGTCAAACATGGGGGTGGAAACATCATGCTTTGGGGCTGTTTTTCTGCAAAGGGACCAGGACAATTGATCCGTGTAAAGGAAAGAATGAATGGGGCCATGTATAGTGAGATTTTGGGTGACAACCTCCTTCCATCAGCAAGGGCATTGAAGATGAAACGTGGCTGGGTCTTTCAGCATGACAATGATCCCAAACACACCGCCCGGGCAACGAAGGAGTGGTTTCATAAGAAGCATTTCAAGGTCCTGGAGTGGCCTAGCCAGTCTCCAGATCTCAAACCCATAGAAAATCTTTGGAGGGAGTTGAAAGTCTGTGTTGCCCAGCGACAGCCCCAAAACATCACTGCTCTAGAGGAGATCTGCATGGAGGAATGGGTCAAAATACCAGCAACAGTGTGTGAAAACCTTGTGAAGACTTACAGAAAACGTTTGACCTCTGTCATTGCCAACAAAGGGTAAAAATCAGACAATGTGATTTTCTGGATTTTTTTTTCTCATTTTGTCTCTCATAGTTGAGGTATACCTAGGATGAAAATTACAGGCCTCTCTCATCTTTTCAAGTGGGAGAACTTGCACAATTGGTGGCTGACTAAATACTTTTTTTCCTCACTGTACACCTGTGCATGCAAACAATCGTACTGTAGAAATATGGTTTATTTAAGAAAAGTCTCCAGTGAAAGGAAGGTCTTTAGTTTGCTTCTAAAAGAACACGGTGTCAGAGCAGGTCTAAGATCAGCAGGCAAACCGTTCCATTCCTTTGGCGCATTAATACTGAAATACATCTCACAGGACTTAGAAAGTGCTCTAGGCACATGGGGGAGATTTCCACCTTGTGACCGGAGGATCTGCCAGGGTGATAAACTGACAGCATGTCTGAGATGTACCGTGGAGCCAGACCAGCGAGTGCTCTGTAAACCAAAAGCAGGATTTTGAATTCTGCTCTGAAAGAAACAGATACGTTTTCAGAGGACAGGAGTTCAATGGCTTCCCCTTTTTGTCCTAGTTAGTATTTCTACTGGGCGGTTGGATAGGTTGTAATCAAAAAACATATTAAACAGACAGCAACACAAAAAGGGAGACAATTGACACTTGTTGGTGCAAATCCATAAAGAAATGCGACGTCTGTTCCAAAACAACCTGTATAGTTTAACATAAGTTACACTAAGCCAGGGATCTTTTGCCTTTTTTGTTATTTAAACCATTACCAAATGTTTCATAGGAATTGGCCAATTGTTAAACTGATTGAAAAGGACTGTTTCCTTTGTTCTTACGAATAACTTTTAGTTCTGTTCTGCAATAAAGGTTTAAAAATGATTTATATGATACTGCTGAGGTGACCAGGTGGTACAATTAAAAATGATTTATGTTTAAATTCAGTTTGATGAATTGTGAAAATGTTCATTATGGCCAACATGTATATAGTCCCTGGAAAGCCGCCTGCATGGCTAGTTCCATATACCTCTTAATATCAAAGTAAAGGTGGGCACAGAGGAATCTGATTTAGGTGGCAAAATTGTACAATAAGCAATTTCCCTTTTTTGTTGTGAGCAAAGGGGGATTATTCATCAAAGCGATGGTGGATGATCCAATATCTAACAAAGCCCTTTGTTTTGTTTGGTGACAAAAGATTAATGAACAGAGTGGACTGACATTTCCAGCAGGAAGGACATTGATCTGGGGGTCTTCTGAAGATCCTCTTTGTCCTGCTTACCGTGCAAACAATAGATGACAGTGAGGAAATATGTATACAATCACACCAAACGCACAGTGGCTTTATGAACGCACACACATTGACACATTCACTAATCCAAAGGGCAAACTCAGAATGTCAAAAGCTACTTTATTTGTTGTTAATCAGGAGTTCCTTCATAACATCTAAAGACATTTCTTCCCTGTTTTTATGTGGTTTATTTAAGAAAAGGACTGGCGCCTGCTGATAGGATTTTTCTTTTTGGCTTCAGACGAAAGTCAACAGGGACATAAACTATTTCTTTGGGAAATCAAACACATTCTTGCCATTTGGTTTTGTGACCTACAGTAAGGGTAAAAACAAGAAACAGAACTATTTGTGGGAGAATTTAAACGAGCCAACTGTCTCGGTTCCCTGTTGACTTGATCTACTATTGCTACTGTAACAAATGTTGAATGGAGGCTGGCTATCGCCAATTTCTGCCAAATAAAGTTTTTAGATGTCCCTTGCTTTTGGCAGGCTGAAAAAAACTGTTCAGCCTATTCTGCCCAGTCCACTCTCTTTCACTTATTTTATGTGGGCATCAATATGGCAAGTCGGGGAATTGAACGTGTTTTTGTCTAGGTTCCTCTTCATTTTTGTTAGATTTTTTAATCCTTGCAAGAGAGAGCAGAAACAAACCATAGTGACGGTGGGTTG